CGTAACCGCCTCCATAAATCTGACGACAGTCTAGAAGAAGCCGGAAGCATCCACAGTTGATCAAAGAAAGCGCGATCAGGGTGATTGAAGAAAAGAGAATGCCACCATTACGGAAGGCCTTGGGCAAGAACATGATTCCGGTTCCGATAAAAGCCTTGATGAGAGTAAAGAAAGTCTTTGTAGTCGTAGCGTCGCCAGTCTTACGGAGTCTCTTGGAGCTTCTCCTGCGCCCAAGCAGCGGTCGGAGCTCGGGTGGTTGTTCAACATCGCCGTCCTCTCGGTCATCGATCGCAGACTCGTCTTCGCTGTCTGCATCTTCGAGGTCTTCGCCAGCAAAGCTTCCGTACAGGTCGAGGAAATCGACAAAGTTCTTGGCCACAATTGTGTAGCCACTCATACGTCTCTGGCGGGCACGTCGCTGGATATGATATCGTCGGAAGCCTCCAGGTTCACGCTGTTCGGAGTGGCTCAGCTCGTCGTCGTCGGCCAGTCCAGGTGTGTGATGGTGGGAAAAGGTAGCAGCTCGTCGAAGGGAATTGGCGCGAGCCTTGATCTTGAACATGTCGCGATGCATGTCACCACCTTGGAGTAGAAGTGAAGACTCAACAGGCTCTGCTAGAGAGTCATCATTGACATTGGTAGCGGAGGCAGAGGCAGAAGCAGAAGTGTTGGCTGGACCGAAAGCGACATCAGGCTCTGCAGAATAGCCATCTGGTAAATGCTTGTCAAGAATGGCAGCCTTTCGCTTGCCTGTGTCGCTACCCGGGCTGCTGGGCGTTCCCTCGAAATTCGAAAAATCAGCCATGGTTGCGGATTATTGGAAGAGTTTGACAGTCGTGACGTAGTGCCTGCAGAAGTCGAACGCTTATATGCAGCTGTGGTAGTGGGAATAAAGCTCAGTAAACAACAGAGTATTTGTCTTTGGGGTCGTCAATCACGGAGAGTTTTCAGCTGTGTCAGCCGTCACTGCTAGTGTCAACTACCATTTGCCAGAATAAAAAGGCAATGAATTGATAGAGAGAGAGAAAACATGAATTCCTGCGAACGGCGGTAAATCGCCAGGTTGGGTCGCTTGTTGTACGACAATTCGGGTCGGTGAATATCTCTCCCGGAATGTCTAGCCGATTGAGGGTTGAGTCGGTGGGTCGGAGACCCACGTGCGCTCACAGGCTACAAGTACTCAATACATCTTAAGCCTCAAGTCTGTGCTGAGACTTGCCATGGCCTAGAAGAAGAGAATGTATCCGCTACATCGTTAGTGACCTTCATGACGGTGGTACTCATGCAACCAGAAACACCACGCTTGACATTCATCCTTCCTTATTCGATACAATCGAAGCTTCTAGAGAAAGCAACCAGGGAAGATCTCATCTGTTTCACCCCATGTTAGATCACATGAGAACAGCTTGGACAGCCCCCCACTGGTTAACATGCCTGTACCTCAATGGAGTACAACTTCACTCTCCGACTCTAGATACTATAATAATTACATTTGTAGTACGTTTTGGTTCGGGTCCATTGCTCTGTTCACTTCAACGCCTTTGATTCTGTTCGTGTTGTTCGCGAAGTGCACCCTATTTGCACCTTTGGCCGCAGCAGTTCCTTTTATCAGCCTCAATGAAACGGCCCTGTTAATTGCGTTTAAAGTCGTCATTGTGGCCAAAAGAACAAATTAAAACGGTTGCGACAGGTCAACCTTTTACACCTGCTGTACAGTTTAAGAATTCGTATACTCCATGTATATTCGCCTTTCGGATAGCTGTAATGTTTCTAAAAGAAAGGCCAAGAAATATGTTCCATTCTAATCGCGCCACCAGTGGTTTTGGCTGATGTTGTAACTGACTAGTGATTAAAGCCAACCTCTCAGACATTATTGTGTTGGACTGACGACTGCAATTTCGACAGCCACAGGATTGGCAGACTTGAGCATTTACACATGCATTATTCAGATGAGAGTATGTTTTCCCGCCATCGATGATGGTACCGCTGGAGTAACGAAAATGCTAATAATTACATAGTAAGATCCCCCACTGCGATTTGAGGCGCTGAGCAGTATCCCAGTTTAGCCGGGAAAGACCCGTACCAGTATAGGAAACTTTTTCCTCAGGCACATATGGCACTAAACCGAATACGCTCGACGCGCCTGTCGTTTCGCAGCCACCAGAAAGCTCATTCATCAACCTCAAATTCAACGCTCAATCTCATCACAACCGTCAAGATGAGCTTCGCACCTCTCAACCCTCGCCCTATGCTTCAGGAGCTTGTCAGCAAGCAAGTTCTTGTTCGTCTAAAATGGGGTGAGGTCGAATACAAGGGAACCCTTGTCTCCATCGACAGCTACATGAACCTCCAGCTTTCTGGCACCGAGGAGTACATCGCCGACAAGCCTACCGGTTCGCTAGGTCAAGTACTGATCAGGTATACTATCAACCATCCATTGACAGATTCCGTAACCGCGGTGCTAACCAGGACTTTGCAGGTGCAATAACGTGTTGTGGGTGCGCGGAGCAGATGCAGGAAGCGACGCGGACGCTGCTATGACTGGCTAATTCACCATCAGGTGACGGGACTTTGTGAAGGACAGAAAGGAGGACACGATTTTCTCAAGTTATACAGAGGTTTGCTCTGATGCGAACCCTACGCCTGGCCCGGACGCGACACCGCTTTTTCAACCACGAAGCCTCGCCAGGCTGTTTTCGTGCATTCACTGGATGCCTCACCTCGAGGCATTATTCATCGGCTAGTTATCAAAATTAGATGCCAATTTCAGGCGGACAGCTCAAAAGCTCTACAAGAGGGTAGTATTCTGAGTCACAAATCTTAATTCAAATTTCGGTGATAACCATATTTTCCGTGTTCTTTGTGATCTGCTGCAGTGGTGAACTTGGTTCAAACAGACCGATCATTGCTAGGTATTCCTTTGACCGGAGGTATATGTCTTTCAAGCTCTTGCTTGATGACCATGGATCTGAGTTGCGGATCTTGGTTTGAGTATTGGTTCTCCTTTTCCGAAGGCGAGACGGAGACTGATTACCTCATCTCAGACGAGCCATTTTTTCTTTGTAAAGGTACTGGCCAGGATGAATTTCCAATCCGGCAAAGACTAATGCAATTGACGTGGTCGAAGTGGGAAGATGTCTGGACATGACCATCTCGACAAATGTCATAAAAAAACAGGGACCACTCTCTTCACGCATTGATTGCCGGCTTCTTTACTGTTGCATGTTAGCTTGTCAAGCTTCAGATATGGAAAATAGGCCTTTTCGTTCTTGCTCCTGTAGGAAGCTTTAGAATCCGCAGCGTTCAATAGATCTATCTAAGTATGCGCAACAGACATATCTGTCTTGAGGCCATGATCTCATTTTAGCGTTACCATTGTTCCACGCAGAGATTACAGTATTAAGCCAAACTAAAGAAGCATAAGAAGATATACGCCAAACAAGCTTCAGAGCAAAAGCAGCACAACGCTTACCTATGTTTAAAGCGAAGGTTGGTCAAGATGAGATGAGTGTGGAAACAATACTATACATACTTTAGAAGAGCAAAAACGCATTTATGATGAGTATACTCCTCCTCATTGGTTTTGGCAATACTGACACCTATCAGGTCGAAAGGAGAGGTAGAGTTTGTTTGTATAGGCACTGTAACTACTCGACCTGCAGGGAGCGCTTGGGCGAATCATGAATTCCTGTGATTATTTCTGAAGTTACGTTCCAGAGTTTGATCACTACCCAGGCAGTGAGTAGCACAAACGTTACCACTAAAGATCTCAATAAACCTTTGTTGTTCCGGTTGTATAGTTTGAGGGTCTTTCAAAGATTCTATCGAAGCAGCAATCCATATGCCTTCCTCTAACCTCCCTACAAACTCCTGCGAAGCATCTTCACCCAATGGCCAGCCACATATAAACGCAATATTAGACGAGCATAACGATTAGGCTTGCTGCTGTCTAAAAATCGAATTAGGAGTGTCTCTGGTCTGCGTACAACACTCGAGAGCTAGTTTGTAATGATCCTGAGGGTGTACATGTGTTGAAGAAGTTTCAAAAAGAGAGGCCACAGCAAAGTATGTCGGCTTAGTTATTGATATTACTGACAGGTGGTTCATGGCCACAAAGAGCCAGAAGAGAACTCCCATGTGTCGATGATTTTGCAACAGTCTGTCTGAATATGCCGCTAACATAGGTTATAGGCCTTGCAATCGATCTCTTTTATCCTGTCCTCGTCAAGCCAGATTCCCTTTCGAGCATATTCCCGCCATGGATGAGAATCATATGAGTAATTGTTCTTGAGACTATAGCCAGCGGTGGACAGAAGACTTGGGATGTAGCTGTGGAATTTGATGTTAAATAACCTGTAACAATTAAGGAAACGGCGCTACTATGGGGGTCGTGTTTACCAAATCTTGTCTATCAAAAATCAGGATATGAATATTTAGTGACCAAAAGAATGAACGCACAATTTACTATAGCAAAGCGATGGCTATGTAATGCCATACGGCAAAAAAGTCGTTTGCAGTTTGGGCGCTTGAACAAAACCTACAGACGTTGTGACAGAGATCCAGCGGATCCACGATGAAGGGAGATTAAGGTTATTTATATGTACTTCAGTCATCGCTCATTGTATCACATCAAGTCAATATGGCCGAGTGGTCTAAGGCGCTGCACTCAAGATTATATCTTATCCAGGTTAGCTGGATTTGCAGTATCGAAAGGTACTTGGGTTCGAATCCCAATGTTGACAGTTTCTTTTTACCAGGTTTACATCCTAATCTTCCAGAAGCTAATAAGTAGATCGTTAACCGATCAACAAACAGTCAAGATGGCCGAGTGGTCTAAGGCGCTGCACTCAAGATCATATCTTGTCCAAACTAACTGGACTTTGCAGTATCGAAAGATTCTTGGGTTCGAATCCCAATCTTGACATTTCTTTTTTTGCTGTCGAGCCATACTTTCTTCTCCTTCTGAAATGGTCTCTTTGTTGCTTGACTAACCACAGTTGGTCAAGATGGCCGAGCGGTCTAAGGCGCTGCACTCAAGATCATATCTTATCCAAACTAACTGGACTTTGCAGTATCGAAAGATTCTTGGGTTCGAATCCCAATCTTGACAATTTACTTTTTGTTTTTGCATCGAGATAGATATGGCATCCTGTTGGAATGGTTGCACCAAGTACTCAAGGGTGCATGTATGTCTTATGAAATGCTGCGAGGCGTTGCCTATCCTGTGCCGTGATGTGCGTGAATAGTGACTTGGACACTAACTGGCTTGAATGTATGTTTTTGGTGCTTAAAGGTTCCCTGCGCAGACTGTACATAATACATACGTAGCAACCCAAACGGCGGGGGAGATCAGTTAGGTTCCTTAGGCTCTATCTATCAGCGCACCTGGGCCTCACCTTTCTTTCCTTCAGTGGTACATCATCCATTATGGGAGTTTGATTATTCCATGCAGTAAATTCAATTACCCAAGATCTAGGACCGAGGTATGCTAATGCGAGGCGATGAGTAGGCTCTCCGCTTAGGTAGTCTTGTGATATCCTTTCTCAACATGCCTTGCAACAACACTTTTTCGGGCCATCAGAGGTGGCACCAGCGGTGACTGTCAGCACAAGTACCTCACAGTGGGTCTGTGGAAGCGGGGAAATGTCCCGTCGTGCTTAAGTGCCGTGAATCTGGGGTAAGCGGGTCTTTAGCGGACTCAGTGGATACGCTTCAGGGGGCTCTAGGCTACTAGCGGCAGCAACTTATTGACGGCACGCGACTTGTAAAGCGCATTGAAACACTGTAAGTCGTCGTGGACCGGTGACATTTCATGTCGCGGATCTCAAGTACTTCAACAGTATGTCACCAATAAGTCCATAGTCTTATCTTTGGCTCTTGGCGCAAAAGAAGGGCAGGTGTGCGTTGCCAGGAACACGTTTCCCCTGGCTGACTCCTGCATTACTTTTGCTACTGTACGAGAACTTTGCCGCACGTCGTTGCTTTCTGAATGCAACGCAGTCAATTGAATTTGAAAAGATATACCGATTATTTGCTCCGTATCCCACACCCGTAATGCACAAAACATGAGATTTCTGTCCATTCTACGTCAATTGAATGCTTTGAATTCAAGTTCTTGCCTGACACTCGCATCTTCTGTAACACAAACGAATCGAATGCAGCTGGGTGGCTGCCGAGGGAAAAACACGCCACTATGCGTGTCTCTGGGCGGGGTTCTGGGTTTCGAGTTGCTGCCAGTCCCTTTTTCTCAGCACTGATTTCGTTTCATTTCACTTCATTTTATTTTGCTCCCTGCACGATTTTCCCTGTTTCCTCTGTGATGCAACACGCGACCCCCTGTTGCACTGCGTTGGAATTGAAAGCACTGAGTCATTTAGGTCGCTCACCTAACGGCTCTGATGAATACGATGCTTGGTAGGAAGCTCTCTGGATTTGCAGTTCGTCCATGGACGACCGACTTCGGAACTACGCCACACAGCTCACCAGTCTAAGGCAACCAGCAAGGTGTAGGCCACCACCATCTTGCTTCGAGCAGCTAAATCTCCTCGAAGCGACCTTCCCGCGGCGCAACCTCAACCTTTTGCATCCAAATCCAAATGCACCATGGCCCCTATGCCCAACGACGATGACTCTGGGGCGTCACTGGCGTGGCAACCTGCACGAATGGACGGCATACTCCCCTTGACCTTGTCGTAGCTCTCCGTTCGCCCTGCGCCTCCCAGGACCGGTACCGTTTTCAGAACCATCTTGACCAACTGTTAGCAGCAATTCATAAAGTCACGAGGGCCTGGCCTCGACGTAATGGAGGGCATGGACCTAACTGACAGCGAATCAGCGCCTGTGTTGGCCTGCAGGAGAGTTTGAGGTTGGGGAAAGATTGCAAGCCATCCGCCCTCGAGTGTAACCTTGTCCGTCAGCACAGTATTTGTCTTACTATGTACCTCTCTCTGCGCTGAAGCGCCTTCACTCGTCCAAGTATCGGCCCATCCCATCTAGTTGTCACTTTGCCTCGATGTCGCAGCCTCCCTCTTACTCTTGCGCATGTTGATCATCCAAGCGCTCTTACCCCGCTCGATCTTGCTGGATCACACAGAGATGGCTGCACGTATATAATAGAGGCAACTGCTCGTTTGTGTCTGTTTGTGTTTCTTGACTTTCTCTTCTCATCAAACCAACCATTCAACTTCTTCCATACTCCTGCTTTTTCCACACTTGAACAGAGTACAGTCAACGACTCGCGAACATCACCAACCAGTGAGCATTGCCCTTGCCATTGCCTCCGCGATTCTTCCTAACAGCATTACCCCCTAAGAAATCCCCCCCACACAAACCACCAACATGCCCGTCCGCGTCCCCAGACTTCCTGCTGCCAAGCCCTCAGAGATCTTCTGTATGGGTGCGGCCGGTGTTGGCGTCCTAACTCCTCTATATCTTGTCATGCCTGGTGCAGAGGAGCGTCTTTCCAACCAGACCAACAAGTGGGCCCCACGATGGGAGCGCAACGTCAGCTACTTCATCCCTCCTATGGAGAAGGGCGTGCAGCGCATCGAGCCTCCTGTGTCAAAGATGATCCAGCGTGTCGAGGATCGTCTTCCTCTTGAGAAGATGGCCAAGTCTGTCGATAAGGGCATCCGAAGCGGCATCGCTCGGTTCAACGGCGAGAACAAGCCCTAAGCACATACTATTTATTATCTTCATACATGACCTTGACCTGGAATTTTGTCAAGCATGAGTGTTCCCTTTGTATATTATCATAGCATACCCCGGGTGGATAACGCATTGTTCACGATAGCCCATAAACGAATGAAACGAATATTATATTCCATTTCTTTCTATTATATGTTTGTGATTTCTCAATTAGCCATTATCCTCGCCCCGTATACGATGTGAATTATTGACAGTGTCTTTTTGCATTTCAATCAACATTTCCCCATTCCTGGTATCCCCTTCCCACTCTGCGATATGTAATCGAGATGAGTGTGGATGAATTTATCATTCAGTGCCGGAGTTTGGGACTAAGGCTTCTTGTCTCTTGCGGGAGAGCTATCTGCAGTCAACTTGCCCAGATTTGCCCAGATCGTTATCTCGTGCTGACATTTGCAGCAACTTCTATGGTGAGCGCGCCAAGGTTCGTTCGTTTCGTGTGTGAAACGTTGATGAGTGGCATCACATACCAAGTATTTGATACCGGACGCTTCTCTGGCCTGCCCTACATTGTTTCCAAAGTCGTCAACAACCACGGAATGCTTGTTCGTCAAGTCGGCCTGTCACTGCCCTACCGACGATGATAAGGTGGGCCAACTTTTACTGATGTCAAACCCATCAACATCAGCGTGAGATTCGAGAAGTATAATCGTAATGAACTAGGTCATACTGCATTTATATGATATTCATGAGGCTCAAAGTTATGTAGTGACGAGTGGAACCCCTGGTGCGACACATCCTGGCTTCATAGCTTCAGTCTAATCGACGGTCCCCCCACCAGCTTCAGGTTCTTGTGGAGCCCCAGCACGCAGCAGTTCTTCACTAGAGGCTACGCTCCAGCGATGAGGGATTAATTCAGACGTGAGCCACAATAATAGGTATTAGATAGATACATGCATTGTAATCGCTTAGACAGAATCCACCTAACATCCATTGGTGGTACGGGCGGGTATAAAGTAAATAAAACGATTTAGTCAAGACGTACATTGGGTCCTTAGACAGGTCCAGCTATGAACAAATAAAGCGAAAAAAGCTCGAGTTTCCCTGTTTCCAACCGCAAACGAGTCAAGACACCTGCCACGTCTGCCACGTCCAGTTCCGTGGCTGGTAGCGCTCCTTCAGGATCTGCTCTCGTCACTGGTGTCGTCTCCGGCAAATCCCGCTATTTGTCAATCGCTATCACCCCGTATTTCGCCTCGCACCGTCGCGACGTCGCGTACCATCGTTGAGACGGACTCGGAGCCATGTGCTTTAGCGCCTCAGGTGCCAAACTGAGCTTTGCCTTATTGGAATCGTACGAAAGACAGTGATGGGAATTGCCCAGGCTGGGGTTGACGAACCGTCTTTGGCAGGAGACGAGAAAGAAGAATATATCTGGGCTCAAGAAGTAATAGAAGAAGTGGCCTCCTCCTATGGCCAATGTTGTGCTACTTCATCTTGCGTTTATCGTCTGTACAGGTAAAGAAAAGCTGGTGCCAAGACTGTGGATGAGCTGTTCATCTGGAAACCGCTCCGAATATTGTCATATATATGATACTATGAACAATCATTATACGACTGGCCTAGAGAAGGTAGTCAGAGAGTAAGCAGTGGCTGAGAATTCCTTATAGGTATTTAAAGTGTGTATGTCCAGTATATCGACTGGCCACGATTGAGGAGGCTGCTGAAGCTACTGGACTCTTGAGTTTCCCCTTGAACTGCCACGCATGGGGTGTGAATACAGTATGTGAGTTATGTTTTCCATGGTAGACTAAGCTTTGGTGTTTGTGTCTCGGTGGTTGGTTCTATTGTAGAGCTCTACTACCTATTCCCCGAAATCCAACCTTTGATTTTCCTGTCATGATCAGTCACTCCATCACCCTGAAACTGTGGTATTCAGTTGTGAACAGTTTTGATATATGTATGCCCCATTACAACAACATGCTATTTGTTTGGTACTGTTGGGCCTTGTGGCATGTCTGTATAAAGACCTAAGAAACAACTCATGAAACAACTCCAGCATAGTTTCGTACAGGCTTCTTCAAAAAAAATAAAAAAAAATACCAGTCAACCAAAGAAATACAACAAAGTCCAATATAAATCCAATAGGACATAACAGAATAACAGTACAAGCGTGAGCGACCTTGAACACCTTGCAGAAAGAGAGAAACTCAAGAATGGCATTAGCCGAAATTGAAAAAATCAAGAGAATAGTTTCTTTGTTGGTCGTTATCTTCATCAAGGCGTGGCGGCTTCACCATGTTTGGACCGTATCCATCTATACTCCCTGTAGCCATAGATCCAACACTCCCACTAGTCCAGTTTGTACCGATATGAGGAAGCTTTCCAGATGTTGGATCATTCATACCTCTCTCATTATCCGCAAACTTTCCCGGTTCTTTCATCGAGCCAAAAGCAGACACTCCT